TCACCCTCAAGACTCATATACACACACACACACTCGGACTCATACACACACATTCAGACTCACTCACACTTAGACACACACACTCAGACTGTCTCTCAGACTCACACACACACACACACAGACTCACACTTAGAAACACACAATTTAGACTCACACACTCAGACTCTCACACACACACACAGACTTACACTTAGACACACAAAATTTAGACTCGCTCTCTCACTCACTCACACACACAGACTCACTTACGCACACACTCAGACTCACTCTCACACACACACACACACACACACACACACAGACTCATATAGACACACAATTTAGATACACACAGACTCTCTCTCAGAATCAGACTCACTCACACAGACTCACTTACGCGCACACACACACACACACACACACACACACACACACACAGACTCACTTAGACACACAATTTAGACACACACAGACTCTCTCTCAGACTCAGACTCACTCTCACACAGATACAGTTTAGACTCTCACCCACTGACTCACACTTAGAGTCTCACACACACACACACACACACACACACACACACACAGACGTGTGGTTTTGACATTGTGTGTGTGATGAAGCACTAAGTGGCCGGAGGATGATGATGACATTCCCACCTTCACACCGGTGTTTGATGATGGATGGGAGCCGCCAGCCATCAGAAACCCAGAGCCGAGCATCATGAACACAAGCAAACGAGAGCCAGGGCGAGCGCCTGTGACACGACAAATGGTATGAACACACCGAACACACGATCACATGATCAACCTGTCATTTAGCCACTTTAACGCTCTCTGTTTGTATGTGTAGAGTAACAGACTGCCGCCAGAGCCTGAGGACAGGTACAGAAGCATGCATATGAACACATGAGACACACGTAAGAAGTGCTGCCGTACGGCGAGTGTGTGATGCTCTGTGTGTGTGTTTGCAGTTCAGAGGAGTTACCGGCGAGCTTTATGAGAGCCATGTTTGATTTCTCAGCACGAAACCCACGAGAGCTTTCCATCAGTAAAGGTGAACAACTACAGGTGAGACACACAACACACACACACATCAGACCTGATAGTGGAGTGTGTTACTGACCACGTGTGTGTGTGTGTAGTTGTTGGACATGTCTAAGCAGTGGTGGAAGGTGAAGAATGAAAAAGGGCAGATCGGTTATGTCCCAAACAACATGCTTCAGTCTCCGCAGCAGCAGGACAAAGCCGTATGTATATCAGACATGTTCACCTGTACATCTGATGTGTTCACAATCATGAGCTTCACCTCCTGACCCGCAGGAAACCCCGTCTGCACCCACACTCACCCGAAAATCACGACCCGAGGAGGTCCGGGCCTGGCTGGAGCACAAGGGATTCAGCAAAATGTGAGCAGAACCACTCTATGTACTGCTTACTATTTAAAAAAAATAGTGTGAAACAGGCTGCAATATGTATGCAAAATAACCAGTTCATGACCTCATTGTTATTTCAGTAATTCAGTTGCATTCAGATATGCTACTTTGCATAGTCAATTTTGCATAAAAATGTTGCGTTTGTCAGTCTGCGTTATTAGCTCACCCGAAAATCACGACCCGAGGAGGTCCGGGCCTGGCTGGAGCACAAGGGATTCAGCAAAATGTGAGCAGAACCACTCTATGTACTGCTTACTATTTAAAAAAAATAGTGTGAAACAGGCTGCAATATGTATGCAAAATAACCAGTTCATGACCTCATTATGTTATTTCAGTAATTCAGTTGCATTCAGATATGCTACTTTGCATAGTCAATTTTGCATAAAAATTTTGCGTTTGTCAGTCTGCGTTATTAGTGTTTCATGCATCATTTACAGAAAAATATAATTATTATTAATGAGTGAATTATTATCATTATCATAATTATAGTTATTATAATTAATGGAATGTGTTATGTATGCAAAACAACCTTTTCTTTACCTTATGTGGCATGTTTAATTCAGTGACCTAATTTTCGTGTTTACAGTTACAGTAAATTTACAGTTAAATTGTAAATAGTTAATTTGCATATTTAATCAATTTTGTGTAAAAGTGTCACTTTTTGTGAGTCAGTATTGTTTTATGCATAATTTCAAATAAGCTTTGTAAGATAATGTTGATGGATTTTTAATGAATGAATTATTGTAATTATATTATGTAGTAATATTATTGAAATTATATTATATTATGTAGTACTATTATGTATAATAATATAATTATATTTTTAACATTAATATTAAAATACAGTGTGTATAATAATATGGATACTATTATTGCTATGTTACTTTATACTATGGTTTTTTAATATATTAATATTGTTTTTTAATTAAAAAAAACTAGTTTTACATTTAATTAGATTTAAGTTCATAATTCATGTAAATAGTGTTTTATGCATCATTTAAAATAAGCTTTATAGGAAAATATTTAATTATTGCGTGAAGTATCATAATTATATATTTATATATTTAATTTTTAATATATTAATATTACGGTTTATAATATAATTCTAATTGTGTAATATTAAAATGTGTAATTATAGCATTGATAATTTTACCTGCTTTTTCATATATTAATATATTTTGTTTTTAATTAAAAATAAAACTTTATTTCTAAGTTTATTTCAGTTTAGTTTTAGATTTCAATTCATAATTTATCATTATATCATGTACATTTCTATAATTTTTCTGTTATGTTTGTTTTAGTTTCTCTTTCAGCACAAATAATTATTTACGATAAAACCCAACGTCCATCAATGGAAAAATGTTAAAATATATATTAAATATAAATTATACTAGTATTATTGTATACATAATTCAATATAAAATATAAATATAAAAATGCAACATTATTGTGTCATTGTGTTTGTTTATAGTTTTTATTTTAAGTTTCACTTTCATGTGATCAAATAACGAGTCAAAAAATCTTGACTAATATGTTGATTCAAGCACATTGCATTGTGGGATATGGGTATTAGCATGCATTATGTAAACATTCTGTACGTTAAGTATGTTATTCTGTGTGTTTGTCAGTACGGTGCGGTGTTTAGGAGCTTTTTTTGAGTCACGTTTGTTGTGATTTATTAGTTTAGTGTCATAATACTGTCTGGCGATTAACAGTCAGTTTAACGTTCAACTCAATCTACCGAACACTTGCTAGATCGGAAAACGCGACAAACTCAAAACTAACATCAATGTTGAGCGTAAAATATATGTTGTTTATGTAAACTACTTTGTAAACATCACAGAAACTGGAGGTTCGGTGAGTTCAGGAGGTTTAGGATAAAAAAAACAAACAAACTAGGTTTTGGTTCAACAGCGCCTCCTGCAGGACTGGAGGACATTCACTTCTGAACAGTTTGGCCATCAGAGAACGTAAATCCTTCAAAATGACGAGAAAATTTAACGGATAATAGAACAAGAGACTGAAAGATGTGTCCACAGTGAGTTATAATCACAAATTAAACCTTCAAAAAGTAGCTAAAGCAAAAGGCATATGGGGGTGGCGGGGCTACTATAAATATAATAGTATGTGAATAGCATTAACAACTATTTTGTTTTTAACATATTAATGTTGAAAGCAAAATACAATTGTTAATAATATTATTATACTTATATCAATATGTATAATTAGTATTATTTTATCAATATATTATGATTATCATCATTATGCATATTAATATGTATAATGGCATTAATATAATTATATTTCATTTTTAACATTAATGTTAAAAACTAAATATTAACGTATAATAATAGTAATATTGTTTTATTTTTTAACATTAACATTTTAAAACTAATATATTATGTAATATAATTATATAATATATAATTATATTACATTATATTAATATATTATGTAATATTATCATCATAATATTGATATAATTGTTTTTAATATTAACTGATATTAATATAGATTTAAAAAAAAAAAAAAGTATTTCAGTTTAGTTTTATATTTAATTAAATTTAAGTTAATAATTAAATATTGCATATTATTATAGGTAGGGTTACGGTTATAATCACAGATGCCTCAAATGAAGCCTTCAAAATAAAAGTCTCTAAAGTAAAAGGCACTTGTGGGAGCGCGACGTCATGACGGAGGTATAACGTCGTATAATAGCGATGCATAGCTCAAACGTCTCTAAATATGCAGTGAAATGAAAGGAACGGAGGGAATGTGACTTTGGTCCGTCTCGAGTGTGCTGATTGGACAGGCGGGGTGTGGGCGTGGTCGGATCTCATCTCGAGCGTGCTGATTGGACAGGCGGGGTCATGGCTCATCTTGAGCATGCTGATTGGACAGGCAGAGAGTG